CAGTGTTGGGGTTACTTTTGTGCGGCTGGGTGTGACACTTGTAACTGTGACAGGACATGTGGTGGACATCTAGGGTAGCTGGCAGAGTTCTAAAAGAATGTTTTCTTATAGTAATGTATTAAGTTATACATTTTGTGCTTTTTTTGGGGGGGCTGTGAGCTCTTTTTATTTTTTAAAAAAAAAACATTTTATTGTGCTTTAGGTGAAGTTTACATAGTAAACTAATTTTACACAAGTTGTTTCATGACCTTGGTTGCTGTGTTTGGCTTTCAGTATTTGTGATTTACTTTATAATTTTTTTAAAGATTATAACGAAAAAAAAAAAGCCCTTAGGGTTTTCCAGTAAAAACTATGGATTTGAATACTTCTACTTATAAATAGTAGCTGATGGTTCTTAAGAAATTGCCTAAATTATAGAAATATTTCTAAATAATAACCTATAGATATTTGAAAAATATATTAAATTCTTATGTGTGCATTTAGTTATAAGCAGTCAAAGAATTAAGTATACATTCCTAACACAAAATTAATTTTGTTACGGTATTATGTAATACAATTGGATTAAATGGACTTTGTTGACTTTCAATATTTTCCTTTCCTATTTCCATAAAAGATTATTCATGTTATTCTATTCTAAGCTAGAACATGAGTATTGGAACATATTTTGTATATCCTTGAATGTCCACACTCAGTTTCACTCTCCATCTTTTTACACAGAACAAAAATTATCCTGTCCAAGCATAAAGGTAGTTATTAACATGTAGCATTACACACTATCATCCAATTTGCAAATAAAGATCCATATACCCAGGTCTGTGTTCTATGCCATAATATTAATGGCTGGAGACTATTTTTTTGTTGTTAATTGTCTAAAAAACTCAAGAACATAAAATAGATTTAAACCATCAAAATGAAAGCCATTTTTAAATGCAATATAACAATAAACACGGACGAACGATGTTGTACACTTTTGCCCATCAAAAATTGACAATTTCCCTCCAATTGTTCAAGCAGCATCTCTACAAATGGTGCAGTTGTATGGTCTCCTTCTCCTTCCTCTTCATACAATTATGTGGTGTTTGAGTGATTCACATACTCAAGAAGTGACTGGTCTAAGACTCTTCGGATAAGAGCTTCCTCAATTATATTAAAATCCTATAATAAAGAAAAATAATTATAAGCATACAACCAGAGTCAATAGTGTATCAGAAACTGAAGGATGAGGGTCAAGGCAATGCCCTCATTTTACAGGGAACTAAAAAACCTGTTACAGATTCCAGAACTTTTGTGTTGGGGTTAATGGCTTTCCTATTTCATTTTAAAAAAACCAAACCCGTTGCCGTCAAGTAGATTCCAACTCATAGTAACCCTACAGGACAGAGCAGAACTGCCCCCACAGGGTTTCCAAGGCTGTAAATCTTTACCAAAGCAGACTACCACAACTTTCTCCCATGGAGTGGCTGGTGGGTTCGAACCACTGACCTTTAGGTTAGCAGCTGAGTGCTTAACCACACCGCTATTAGGGTCTTTCTATTTCATTTTACCGCCTATCAATTACCTAGTTATTGTCATAATAATATAGCCTTGATTTCGAATTTAAAATTTTTATCTGGTCTAACTGGTAGTTTTAAATCAACATTACAAATCCTGGTCAGAGTGCTATATT